TCCTGCAGATGTTGCCGTTCCCTCTTCTCTCCCAGGCAGACCGCTTTTGGGAAAAGGCAGAGGGAGGCACAGCAGTGCAGGTCCCTGGCGCCTCCCCCCCCCATCTCCTGCCAAGTCCTGGGCTGCCAGCAAGCACAGGCTGAGCCGGGCATGGGGCGAGGGGGCACGCAGGACCGCTGGCCGGGTGCGGGTGTGCAAGTGGCTGATGGGCGCTGAGAGATGGGAAGCAGGGGCAGCGCCGTGTGCGAGGGGGTGTGTGTCTGTGAGAGGGCATCTGATGGTTCCCCATTCCCGCAGGCGGCAAAGGCTGCGGCGACCAGTCGAGGAGCCGGCAGAGATGCTGAGCAGAGCTCCGCGCTGACAGCAAGCAGCAAGGAGCTGCTGCAGCCTATGGTAGGTATGGAGGGGCTCCTGGTCCACAGGGGCTGGGGCTGCAGACCCTGAGCCCCTGCTCTCCTTTCTGCACGCAGAAGGAGAACCATCAGGAGCCACACGATGCCGTACAGCAGCTCAGCACTAAGGTTGGTGTCCTCTCCTCTGCCCCTGACCCAGAGCTGCGTTGGCTGGGGCTGAGAGGTTGGAAGGGACCGCTGGAGGTCATCTTGTCGTCTCCAACCCCCCTGCTCAGAGAGGGTCACCGAGTGCCGGTTGCCCAGCGGCGTGACTAGGGAGGACAATTTTCGCAGGCTATGGGGGGGGTCCATCGCTTCCCCACGCCTGGCCTTGCGAGTCACCCAGTTTCCCAGTAGTGCCCTAGGGCAGCGGGGGAGTGAGTGGGCACAGCCCTGGGGCTGGAGAGGGGCGAGGGTGCCAAGGTCCCAGCCCAGCTGCCCGCACGACGCACCCGTGGTTTTGCAGGAGGAAAAGTTCCGTGCCCTGATAGCATCCTGGCTCAAGGAGGACAAGCAGGAGAATGAGGTAGTGCCGAAGGGGCCGGGGGAAAACGGGCGGGTGCCCACGGTCCCTGGGGCCACAGCAGGCTCAGGGACTCAGACCCTTCCCTCTCCCAGGCGCTGCGTCAGGAAATAAGAAATCTGGAAGAGAGACTGGAGGAGGAAGAGGGCTGGTAAGCGGGGTCCCTCGCCCCACACGGGTGTCCCTGCAGCACCCGGCGCCATGGGGCTGCCAATGCTGGTGCCAGGGGAGCCCCATCCCTGCCTGGGGTGGGGGGGTGTGTGTGGAAGGGGACCCCCGGCGTGGCCACGGAGGTCTGTAATGTGTCCAACCAAGCCCTGTTGCCTGCAGCCAGTATCAGAGGAAGAAGGAGGCAGAGATGCCGGAGACTGTGCTGCCGGAGGTGGTGGAAGCACGGCTGGTAAGGGGGAAGAGCCTGTGGGTCTCCCTGAGGAGAGGGGTCCACGGAGGTGCCAGCCACGCGTGGGCTACGCTCCCGTGCAAGGCAACTCCGTGCAACTCCAGCTGTCCCGGCCGTGCGGCAGTGCTTGACAAGTGTCCTTGCTCTGTGTTGACCTGCAGGAGAGGGACGTGCGGGCGAGGAGACGCGGTTTCAGTTACTGGCTGCAGTGAGTGTCCCCACCGGGTGATGGGCTGGACGCCTGCTCCAGCCGGTGGGGCCCCTCCATCCCTCCTGGGGCTGGGATGCATCCACCCTGCCCTGTCTCCCATACTTCTTCTGCCCCACAGGACACTCCTCCTGCTCTTTGTCGGCCTGGAGCTGGCCATCGTCTTTGCAGTGGCTGCTGCCATGCTTTACGCGTCCTGGTACGACCCCGAGGTCTTCCACCGCCTGCTGCCCGAGGAAGCCTACGCCAACCTGACATGCGTGCTGGAAGCCTACGCCAACCTGGCATGCGTGCTGGGAAAGACCCTCCGAGCAGCCAGTGAGGGGCTGCTGCCTTTTTGACCACCCCTCCCAGTAAAGCCTTATTTAGCATTGTGGACAAGCTGCAAGGATTGCTTGACAGGTTTTCATAGGCACTGGCCAACCCTGGGATTGGCATTCGTAATAAAGATCGGCTTTCCCTGACTGGCCTCGCTTGATACGCAACCATTCAGCTTGTCGGTCCCAATCGTCCTTCTCACTGGTGACCGTCCTGATTTGGGCCAGGCAGTCTACCCGTTGGTTCCATTTCGCAGCTGGGCTTCCATCCCGAGCATGGCCCTTCACCCATCCCACCTTTAAAGGTCAGGACCTCCCTATTGCCGGGGAGATGTTGCCAGTCCTCTGTCCTCCACTCTTTCGCACGACCTACCTCCCACTTTTGTCTGTTCTTTCAATCATAGTGTTATACAGTATGACCCCTACATGGGGTGCATGGCAGCGGTGACGGGGTCTGGCCCCCAGCACAGGGTCTCGGTCAGGAGAAGAGTCACAGGTCACTCGGCCGGAGCTCATCTAGTCATTAGTTGATCGAATTCTTATCAGTCAGTGTAGGGATATAAAATATTTAATAAGCACAGATGGATCGGTGGTCAGTGCTCTACTCCACTTAGCGTTAGGGCAGGATACAAAGCTCATCGCGTAAGCTTCCTACACGTATCTTAAATGTTACCTGCATGCAAACAACGCCACGTACCAAGCCGCCGGTGCCTGGTGTCAGGTACGGGGTCTCTCAGCCTTGAGAGGGGTCCTTGCTCAGGGGGTGATCCCTGCCCCACAGCCAGCTGCTATGGAGGGGGAGCGCTGGGGACCCCGATGGCTGCAGATACTTACAGCATCAAGGGGCTGACTCAGTCAGGTTTTGTGCCGTGTTCATGCTGTTTCAGCTGCTCATCAGCCCATTCTCCAACCAGAACATGGGGTTTTTTTGGTTTTGATGCTCGGTTCTCACTGACAGCCTCACACCAGAGGATGACCTTCGGTTAGGCTTACTTGCTGAGCACCTGCCCGGACCCAAGTCCCGTTATCTCACACCGGAGGAGCACACCCCTCACAATCCCCTCCACAGCAACCGGCGCTGAACGTGGCGCCTTCCCCTTGTGCAGCTGCAACGGCAGCTTCCCCTTCAAATCCCCCACTTCCACCCGGCGAGAGCCCTGCGGCTGCTGCAGGACCCTGCCAGTCGCCCACGGCCCCCCCGGCATCACAGCATCACCCACCGCCAGCCGCCGGCTCCAGCCCCTCCAGAGCGGATCGCTTCTCCTCCGCGTCCTTCAGCCGGGAGCAGGACCCTGATCCTCAGCATCCGCAGCTGCACCGGGGTCCCCGTCCCAGCCGTCTCCCTCTGCCCGGGGGTGCAGGAGGTGCTGAGCCCTGGCACGGGATACTCGGGGTCTTCCCAGATGGGGGGAGTCACCGCTTCCTCCTGTGAAGCACCGATGGTGATACAAGGAAAGAACACAGTGGCTTTGTTCTACTGACTAGTGGTGGATAAGAAATCCTGTATGTTGCAAAATGTGTAAGAGACCAGAGAAAATTACTTCTGGCCGACCTTGCAAATTCCCTGAGAAGATAAAAACCTTAGGCCCTTTTAGATAACTTAGCTTAGAGTGTCAATATGGTTTGTGACAAAAGAATGTAAGTCGAGAAAAGATAGATAGTAGAGTTACTAATGGACATTCTTTAGGATAAGTTGTATCAAACATGTAAAGTGTCCCACTGCGCAGAATCACTAGAAAAGGGTTAACTAGCAGACAAGTGAGGAAGACTATCAAAGACCACCAGAGGACCCCTGAAGACCACCAAAGATCTCGAGTGCACCTGCAACAAGGACATTTACACACATTAATGATTTCCCAGAATTCAGGTGATTATGTTAATTATTTCCAGGAAAAATCATGAATATGTATTATATACAAAATAATCTCAACTGTTGAAAGTATTGGTATGCACGATAGGTGGAACGATCCCCCAGTGCATCCAGCGCTGCAATAAAGAATGCCTACTTTCTAAAACTCCAAAACTGAGTCTTAGAGAGTTTCTGAAGTGCCGATTTACGGTAACAACGGGACCTGCGGCTGCTTCGACTGTGCCTACCCGGGTCGGGTGCAGGGGGGACCCCCAGGGATGCAGGTGGCCGGGCATCCCAGGGGAGGGCTGCCAATCCAGGGGTGTCCCAGGGCGAACGATGCTGACCCCAGCCCCTCCGCCTGCTTTCCAGACAAGAAGAACCAGGAATGCCGGAACAGCCCAGGTAGGAGCTGTCTTGCCCCCAGGGCCGTGGGAACAGGGTGCTGTCCCTCCAAACCACCATGGGTCCTCCCAACAGCAGCTGGGGAGCGCGCAGTGCCATGCTGACATGGGGGGGGATCCCTGGGGAGGGAAGCTGCTGCTGTGCCTGGGGAGGGCAGCGTCCAGCCGGAGCTGCTCTGGAGGATCCTGCTTGTCTCACCCCGGTTTTCCCCAGGTGGCCTGCCCCCAAGTTAAAGCAAAGGCAATTTATCTCACAGGGGTTTCCTGACCGTCCCCCACAGCCACGTTGCAAGGCAGGAGGGGCAGCGGCTGCACTGGGCGCTCAGGGCAGGGGGACAGTAAAAATAACTGGGAGGACGGAGGTGGGGGCTGGACCTGGGCCCGAGAAATCCCGGCCAGGATCGCTATAAAAAGAAAGAGCATTTGCTTCTGACTTCTCCTGCCGGCAGCGGGTGGGTGCCAAGGGGCTGGGTGCCGTGGGAGCTGGGGAGCAGCACCCCAACCCCGCGCCTGCCGCAGGGTGCAGGTAACGCTTCTTGCTGGGGCTCCTGGGGGGTTTGTTCCCCACGGGTGATGCCGCAGACCTGTGGGCTGCCGGGGCTGTGCTGCCAGGCATCGGGGACGCCCGCCTGCTGGCAGGGTTTAATGCAAGGAATGGGGTCGGGGTCTCGGCCGGTGCTGGGAGGTGTGCTGAGCAGGGTGCCCCTGGCCAGGGATGCAGCTGGGGCTGCTTTCCCCCAGTCTGCCCTGCTTCTCTCCACAACCCCCTCCCAGGCCCTGCTGCCCTCCCCAAGCTGACCCTGCTCTCGCTCCCCCACCTCCCCAGCCGCTTGCGGAGGAACCGGCTGCTTCCCTGTCTGCAGCACTGTGGCAACTGGGGGCTTCCCCCAGGGCAGCTCTGCCCGCCATGGAGCATCTGACGCTGGGCTTGGTGCTGCTGGCCGGGACCCTGGCCGCTGGCACCCCCCCACGCCGACGAGACCTCAACACCGTCAAGGAAGTGGCACTGGACATGGCCCCCACTTCCTTCGACGACCAGTACCAGGGCTGCAGCCGCATGATGGAGGAGCTGCTGGAGGAACTCAACCGCACTGAGTTCGTCAACAACAGCGTCTACGCCAAGACCTGGACCCTCGCCGCTGCCGAATGGCGGAGCCGACAGGGCCGTGTCCCCCGGCTGCCGGCGCTGCGGCCGGAGCAGGCGGTCGCCCTCCTGGCGTACACGCTGCCGGAACCCCTGTACGAGGTGTTCAACAATGCCGTGCGTAAGGCTGGGCGCTCCCGCGAGGAATACCTGGGTGCTTTCCACTTCAAGGCGCTGCATTTCCTCATGATCGAGGCCCTGCGCACCCTGCGGGATGCCCAGCCCCGCCGCTGCCACCGTGTCTACCGGGGCATCCGGGACATCCGCTTCACCGCCCAGCACCACCAGCGTGTCCGCTTCGGCCACTTCACCTCCACCTCCCTCCGGGAAGAGAGCACCCAGCCCTTCGGCCAGGACACCTTATTCTCAGTGGACACCTGCTACGGCGTCTCCATCAGGAACTTCTCCTACATCCCCACAGAGGAGGAGGTCCTCATCCCACCCTTCGAGATCTTCGAGGTCACCAACGTCACCCGCGACAAGCACAGAGCCTTCATCCAGCTCCGCTCCCAGGGCACGCGCAGCACCTACAACTGCGAGTTGGTGAAAGGTGATGTCCCCAACGGACGGTCCCTCCCCGCTCCGGGGTGCAGGGGACGGGGGTGGCCCCGTCCCACCAGATCTGCTGGGAAAGGGGGCTCTCGATCGTGGGGAGGGTGATGCGGGGCGCTTGCTTTCGGGCACACATCTTCGCACGTCTCCCAGCCGCTCTCCCCCGGGGTTTGCAATGGGGGCCCTCGGCAGCAACGCATGGCACAGCACGGAACGGCGTGGCACCGTGCAGGACGGCACGGCGCGGGTGGGTCGGGGCGAGGAGCGGTGCGGTGCGGAGCATGCAGCAGCCACGTAGACAGAGTTGGTTTCTTTGGCAGAGATGAGATGCAAGAGCCAGCCGTGCGTCTTCAGCGCAGGTGAGCTGAGAGCCCCCGCAGCGGCTGGGGAGGGTGGCCCCCGGCTGGGGCCCCCCATGCCCCCCCATCTGCCCCTGACTCCCCCTCTCCGGCACCCCCAGGCAGGAGTGTCCCCAGGGACCCCCCACGCCTCTGGGGGCTCCTCCTGGCAGCCACAACCCTGGCAGTCATCGGGGGCCTCTGAGCCACGACGCCACCGCACCCCAGCAAGGAAAAGGGATCGGGAATGGGAGCCCCCAGCTTCACGGAGATGGCAGGATGGGTCGGAGCAGCAGGAGGGGCTGGGGGCATGGGGACAGCCCCGCTGCAGGGTCCCACATGGCGGCCACCTGTGCCCAGCCCAGCCCTGCCATGGTGCCACCGGCTCTGGGACGCGCCGGCAGCCCCGGGACACCAGCGGAGCCTGGATGAGGACTTTTGCAGAGCCACGGCTGGGGCTTTTGGATACAGCTGAGCGTGGGGTCTGCAAGGGGCTGCCCCAGGGACGGGGGGCTGGTGCTGACAGGGACCGGGGAGACGCAGCAGGGCTGCTTTTGGGGGTTTCCCTGCCCAGCCTGTTGCTCCGCCACTCCCCTTTGCCTGGCTCCCAGAAGAATAAAGACTTGCTGTGGGACCAGGGTGTCTCTGGGGGTTTCCTGCAGCTCCCTGGGCTGCGGGCAGCTCATGGGGGCAGCAGCCGGGGTCTTCTCCAGCACACACCCCCCCCATCACCATCCCTCCTGCATCCAGAGCATCCCACGGAGCAATGACCGTGCCCTGGGTCCTGCTCGAGGGATCCGGGGGGGTTCTCCTGCTGGGGTCTGTCCCCCTGCCTGTCCCCAGCTGCCTGCAGCCCAGGGGGGATCGCAGCCCCCACCAGCACCCGAGGGAGCAGGGAGGGGGCTGGCACCAGCCACCCCAGCCCCAGCGCCCAGAGCCCTGTCAGGAGAAGATGGGTGGGGGGCTGCCCCATGGAGCAGCACGTGGGGCTCAGCAGTGCTGTGCCAAGGGACAGCTCTGAGCCCCGCCGGGTGCAGAGGGGGACATGATGGGCCCAGCTCCCCGGGGGTCCCTGCACCCCTGGGCTCCCCACCCTCCTCCTCCAGGGCAGGGTGCAGCCATGAGGCCAGGCACCCCCAGAGCAGAACCAGGGCTGTCCGTGGTTCTCCAGCCCCTCGCCGGGCAGGGAGGGGGTCAGGGATGGATCCTGCCCTCTGCGGTCACCAGAGCCACCTCCTCTCCTTCCCTCCTCGCCCCATGGGTGCCCTCTGCACCCAGGGGTGGCCCCGTCCCCAGGACATGGGTGACACCAGGCAGCCTTCACGTGCTTTATTAAACCCTGGGGTCCCACAGCTGGCTGTGGGCAGGTCCCAGGGTCGGCCTGGGCAGTGCTCCGGGCTCAGCGAGGGGCGCCGGGAGCCCCACGCACAGCAGGGCCAGCAGACGCGGGGCCGTGCGGACCCCACGGCGGGGCACGGAGACAGACCTCCATGGAGGCGTCACGTCCCCACACAGCAGTGCAGGGCCGTGGGAGCGGGGACCTGCACTGCACGGTGCTCACCCGTCACGAGTTGCTCCCCGGTCTCAGCCCAGTCCCCCGCTCTCAGCAGGGGCCGGGGCTGGTGCCGGGGGCGGCCACCGCACCTCCCTGGTGTCGACGCCGAGGGGACTGAGCACCACGCAGGTGAAGTTAGTGTAGAGGTGCTGGGCACCGAAGGAGCTGAAGTGCAGGTCACGGCGCAGCACTACCCCTGAGCCCTGCGGCTCCTCTCTGCGGACCCAGCGAGACCCATTAGCGCCTGTCCCCGGCTCCATGACACCCACCCTGGGCTGGGGGACCCAGCGTCCCTGCCCCAACGGAGGCTGCCCTCTTTGCCAGCCGCTGCCCCCCCCAGGAGGCCCCGACCCCGTACTCACAGCACCGTTCCCTCGCTCACGACGCCGTCCGGGTGCAGCTTCTCCACGAAGGAGCCGTTCCCCAGCCAGTAGAGCAGCGTGAGCTCGGGGAGGCAGCTCACCGCCTCGCATGAGACCATCACTCTCTTGCCTGGAGCCAGAGGGGACGCAGGGTCAGAGGGGCTGCGAGGGTCCCCGGTGGCCCCCGGGCCAGTTTGCCCCTGACCACAGGTGCAGCCTGCCCCCCCCCAAAGGGAAATATCCCCTCACCTCACCAGCACCCCAAAATTTTGGCACCTCCTGTGTCTGCTGGGGCTGGTGCAGGGGCTGACCCCCCCTGTGCCTCCTCCCGGCTGGGGGTCTCACTGCAGCCCCCTGTCCCCAGGCCACCACTGCTATGGCCCTGGGGGTCACTCACCTGGGTGGGGGGGCTCTGCCGGCATCCGCAGGCCGGTGATGCTGGGGGGCTTCAGGGCCATGGCACCTGGGGGAGCAGAGCTGGGTGAGGCGGGAGCACAAGAGCTGCCCCCCCCCCGAGACCCCACATCCCTGGGGTGGGTGGGAGCACAGGGTCCCGCAGAGAAAAACGGGAGCACGGCTCAGCCCCAGCCCCCCGCACAGGCCCCCTGGGGGGTCACAGAGCCCAGAATTGGCCCTGTCCACCCCCTCCCCATAGCAGCCCCCACTTACCCGTGCAGCGGGCGGCCAGTGCGCAGCAGAGCAGGGGCAGAAGCAGCCGGGCAGGGGGTCCCGACATCCCTGCGGGCAGAGACGGGGCTCAGCACCGGGCACACCGGGATGCTCCCCCCGAGCCCCGGAACGGTTCCCCCCCAGCATCCCCCAAACCCCGGGACGGTCCCGGTGTCCCGTCCCCCCCCGCCAGGCATCGGTCTGGTTCCCCCTCCCAGGGTTGGGGGGGGTCCCGGCTGGTGTGTCCCCCCCCCGCCTCCGCGGCGGCCGTACCGGCAGGT